CCCCCCCCCGTTTTTTGGCTCTTATGAATAATGCTGCTGTAAACATTATTGTACAAGCCTTTGCATAGACCTCTGGTTTTTTTCTGATTTTTTTTTCCAATTACAGTTTATATTTAATAATATTTTGCATTAGTTTCAGGTTAGACCTGTATTTAATACCCTTGGGCACATATATCTAGCAGTAGAATTGCTAGGTCATATGGTAACCAATTTTTTGAGGAACTGCCCAATTGTTTTCCCTAGTGGCTGCACCAGTCTGCATTCCCACCAGCAGTGCACAAGGACTCCCTTTTCTCCACACCCTTGCCCACACTTGTCATTTGTGGATTTATTGATGATAGCCATTCTGACAAGTGTGTGATAACTCATTTTAATTTGCATCTCTCTGACAATTAGTGACGTTGAGCATCTTTTCATATGTCTATTGGGCATCTGTATGTCCTCTTTGGAGATACTGTCTATTCAGGTTCTCTGCCCATTTTTTAATTGGATTTTTGGGGGGGGGTTCTTTTTGGTGTTGAGTTCTTTATAAATTTTGGATATTAATCCCTTATCAGATGTATCATTGGCAAATGTAACATGCCTTATTTTTCTTTATAGTACTTACCACTAGCAGAAAGGTTTTTTTAGAATATGTTTTTGTTGATTTCAGAGAGAGGAAGGGAGAGGGAGAGAGAAATAGAAACATTGATTCGGCTGCCTCCTGCATGCCCCCTACTGGGGATGGAGCCTGAAACCTGGGCATGTGCCCTGATCGGTAATCAAACTGGCAACCTCCTGGTGCCTGCAATGATGCTCATCCAACTGAGCCACACCGCCTGGGCAGCAGAAAGTTGTCTATATTACATACATATATAATACACACATAAGTGTGTATGTATACAGATGCTCCTTGACTTACAATGGGGTTATATCCTGATTAACCCACCATAAGTTTAAAATATCTTAACTTGAAAATGCATTGAGTACACCTAACCTGCCAAACATCATAGCTTACCTAGCCTACCTTAAATGTGCTCAGAACACTTACGTTAGCCTACAGTTCAGTGAAATCATCTAATACAAAGCCTATTTTATAATAGAGTGTTGAATGTCTCGTGTAATTGAACACTGTACTGAAAGTGAAAAACAATGGTCTGATGGGTATCGCTTTGCACCATGGTAAAGTCGAAAAATCCGAAGCTGAGCCATCAATAGGGAACTGCCTGTGTTTAAATAATCTCTGTCCATGCACAGTGCCTGATATAGCTCACAGCGGGCATTCAGTACATATTTATTAAGTAGATGGGTGAGAGCACATTGTATCAGGACACGGCCCAGTGGAAGGAACTTGCTCAGGAGCCTACGGCGGGGCAGCCCTAAGACGGGAACCCAGGGCTCCTGGGCCCCGGCCCACCCTCGTGGCTTGGCCTGCCATTTCTCTCCGTTCCTGAGGCTTAGTCACAGTCCATTTCATTCCGGCCAACCCCTGAGAGGCAGCAATGAAACCAGCTACTTGGGAAGGGAAGGGATCACCAGATGTGCGTGAAGATGCTAGAGCTTTGATTTCTTTCACCTGGAACAAAGATCAGCAAACTTTCTGTCAAGAGCAAGAAAGTAAATACTGCAGGCATTGCAGGCCATGGGCCCTTCACCTCTGCCATTATAACACACAAACAGCCACAGGCAATATGTAAACAAATGAGCGTGGCTGCGTGGATTTCATACAATTTTCACCAAAGTGTCATAAAATACTGTTTTTCTTGACCATTTAAAAACACAAAAACCACACATCCAGAGCAGTCTAGGGCTTGATCCTGTGAGCTGGGCCTGTGGTGGACAGAATGGCCCATAACTGATGGGTGCAGTTCAGGGGTGTGTCCCTGTGTCACATGTCAGGCCCATAAAGGTGAATGAGAGGTCATAGGATGGTGCTGACAAGGCAAGGGCCAGGCCCAGAAGTTCCGCTTCCCCTGCAGCTGCTCTCGGTCACACTCTGGGCGTGGGAGGGAACTGCAGTGTAGGGAGATGGACATCACCCACCAACTGACACATTCATGAATCTAGAAGCAGCAAAGGATGAAAAGATGAAAAAATGGAAACAGGAGTCTAGGGACTTGAGTCCGGGTCCAGCGTGGATGGCTGCCTGCCCACTGCGAGGGATGTGGCACATTCCTCTAGGCCAAAGAGGATGGAATCAGAAGGGTTTGGATTGCTGCTTTGCCACTCACAGTCTTGTGACCTTAGCATGTTACTCTCTGAGCCTCAGTTTTCTTACCTATAAAATGATAGCAATACCGCCCACTTCATAGATTTTTCTGAGAACTAATGAGATAGGCATTTGTAATCCATAGCATGGCGCCTGGCATGCAGTGAGTTGTCCATAAATGGTATCTATTGATAATACTTTTTAAAGGGGAAAACATCCTCCTTTAAAAAAAGGGCTCAAAATGTAAATACTGTTAAGGAATACTGTATATTTCATTCCCCTCCGGGAGGGTCCCAATGCGTGAAAGCTCTGAGAAGCCCGGGGCAAGTCCTGAGTCTCAGGCCGCTTGGATGGCCGATGCTTCTGCACTGAACACCTGCTCCCACCTCCGATGAACTGGTGGTCTGCGGAAAATGCGTCGGAGCCCACGTGGGCAGATGCTGCGTGAGATCATCCTTGCAGCTCTCAGATCCTAATTCCCTGTCCGGGGACTTCAGCCACCCCATCCTGTTTCACGTGGGGCTGGCACCGCTTTCCCCTGCAAAAGCCTCCAATAATTGCCTCTGCTTGGTCGACTGGTTCCTTGAGGGCAGATCGGAATATGAGGAATTTAATAACCGCGGCCTGGCCCAGACAGCTCCAGCGCGGTGAGAACACGGAGAGCAGCTGCCCCCGCCAGCAGGCCAAGGCCACTGCCAAACCCCCGCGCTCCTCGTTCCCACGCTGGCAGAGCCCAGCCACCCTGCAGCTAGTGTTTCCTCCGTGCGATGGGCCACTAGGGCTGCGCTGGGAGCACCTGCAGTGGTTCCGCCCACAGCCCGCTGCACGACCGCCTGGGCTCGAATCGGCTTTGTCATATGTAA